AAAGAAGTACAGATTGAATATATAAACGATGGTAATGCAGTTAGGATTTTCAGTTCTTTTTATATAATATAATTGGGTGTTGACTTAAACTCTTTGGAAACAGAGTCAGCTATGTCATCAACGAAAGACGGTACTGTTCCAAGGATGGCATTTCTGTAGAATTTTTATAAAAGTTGTCCTGGACTGTTTTATTTACCTTTTTTTGTTTAATAATGTCTGCAAATCGGAAGACATTCGAACTGATTGGCATGTAAGTAAAATTATTCCAACACAGTTTTGGGGGCAGGTTGTTCTATGAATGTAAATAGATTCAGTGAAAATCTGCAACACGTGTTTTCTTTATTAAGAAAAGAACGATCTAGAAAATTCTGTATTGAGGACACCTCACCATGACTTTTGAGCGCAACGGTTCCTATTTCTTCTGTTCGGAGTCGGCGACATCAGAAAATGGCAAAATTGTCCTCATCTAAATTGGACATTTTAGCAAATAAGTTTAAAGGTGAAGGCGTTTGCACAGACGAAAAAGTTCTCCCTGTTAGAAAAACTACGTAAAACCAGTTTAGGATCAAACAATATGTAAAATCCTAGACAATCCTGTAGTGTTTATACTGGAATTAACGGTACGTGCTGAACATTGCTGTTGCACCACTGAAGGGATGCTAATGTTGTTCAAAAAGTTGCACCAACTTGAAAATACGAACTCAACAACAATGTCCCAAGCTTTCAACGTCGTCAAATTGTGTCCAAATGGTGACCAGATCTACAATGCTCATCTTTATGTGTAAATTGCAATAAACAACTATGTAGTTTGTAAATATAATAATTCCTGTTAATTTTGAATTTTAATAATACAGCATTTAAAAGCACCCAAAACGGGGAGAAAGCACACGAATGAACACCCGATCCATTCTAAAAATGCACCCAAAAATCCGAACCTTAGTTTATTACCTTGTATTTCTAACATATTCTGTATGTTATTTGACTGGACTTTTTCAGATTGGTTTCTAATCCTTGGATAATGTTTTTGTATTGTACACTTGTATTGAAAAACGGTGGAGGAGAAAACGTGGAAAACTTTCTGCTTTTTTCGTAGAATTATTGATACAATCGGCATTCGATTCTCTGGAGAGTGATATTTTATATACCAATCCTCCATAAATGTTGCCATAAGTTTTAGATTTGTTAATTGTCTAATCCAACTACACAATAATTGGAAACTTGCTGTACTTTTAATGGAAACAATACGAATCTATTTTTACGCGTAAAGGATCAAACGGGGATTTGCATTAAGCCCAATTCTATTAGGTTTTTATATTGACGCCTTTGTTAAGGACTTGTGTACTTTAGAAGTAGCGGAATGCGATCTGGAAGATTGTGATGTAAAGATTCTTATGCTGATGATTTAGTAATGTTAGGAAATTCTCCAATTGAATTACAAAGAATAATTAATTTCACTGTATAAATTGTCTTAGTATTAAATATTAATGTTAACAAATCTAAGACATGGTGCTTCGTTTCTACCCATTAGAATATCAACATTATAATTTACCGTCCTACCAAGTTTCCAGTTTCCTGGAAAGAGGGCGAAAATTGCCAAAATACATAAGGTTTATTCCGAATTCCTTCACAGTATCACGACATCATAGAAACATCAGAACAAAGCCATGAGGAACATTGAATAAACATAGGCTCAAAGGAGAGAAAAGGCATGTGGATGTAAATAAAACCACATGCCTTTTCTGGAAGATGTGTAGTAAATATTTGTCAGTGGTGCCTTATAGATTCATGAGACCCCAATATACAGTGTTGACTCAAACCATTTTCTTATGAGGAATTTTTGGGAAATCTCCCCGGTTCTTTTTTAACACAATCGCCGGTGGGTTAAGCCCTGTGTCACCTTGGCAGTCTAAAGTTGCAGATATATATCCCAAATTTAAATTTCAATATTTTTAGTACAGTAATGAGTTTATGAAAGACTCGTTTAGGGGAATCTCTAGGCAATTGCCTTTTTGCCCATAGGTTAATGCAGCATTGGTAAACATCATTGTTGGTGCTGTAGAATCATCACACTAATCACTCAACCATTGCCAAAACTGTTTATGATGCAATGCGTATTTCTTGGCCAATGGGTACCAGGATAAATGCTACCTATTGTGCAAAGTCATTTCAAGCTTAGACTCGGCTGATGCAATAAAGCACAAAAGATGCCAGAGTTGTTTTAGATGTGTGTTAGCGGCATTGAATCAAGGTGAAAGGGTGGCGAAGAGATCATGTGTCATATCTAGAATGGAGTCGGACTTTAAACGAAGTTTATTTTGTTAATTACGGCAACACAACACTTGGACAATGTGCCGAAGAATGCATCCAAGTAACTTTCTATAGGAAACTGACCGAATTAGGTGTTAATGTGTGAAAAACTCAGAAAACCCCATGTGACCAGCCTGTTGTTGAAATGCAATCCTGTAATCAACTACCAGTGTTTTAATCACTCGGCCACTGATGGGCTAAGCACAAAAAGAAGACAGTGTTAATTACCAAGTCCCAGATCCGTCTTGTATTGTTTTAAAATAAACCAGCAATGGGTTGGTCAACTTTCCCTGTAACATTTAAAATTTTGGTGGAGCCATTTGTTATTTATTGAAAAAACTTCTTATATTTTTAATTATTATGAAATGGCAAACACTTAATTTTGAGAGTAGAGGCGAGTTTTATAAAAAATTGTAAATGCTAAGATCGAGTAAAATAGTCCCCAGGCAGCAACTATTCAGACACGACTCTTGTACTTATTTACGAGCAAAAATGTGCAAATTTTTAATGTTTACAAAGTTGTATCGAATCCCCTCAAACTTTCATTGACCCCCTAAGGAGTCAATACCGACCCTTTTGGGAAACCCTGGTCTAAGAGTTAAATAATGTCTTTCTTATTGTATTGTTTACAAAAGAACGAATCACTCTTGTTATAATTCGGAGAAATGTTTCAGAAAACTGTTAGTGGGGATCAAGAATATCAAGGATTGGATCGAATTGTTTGAATAGGACAGTGCAAAACACGGGCATACCTGTCAAGGGAAGAGTTTTCTATGAAAAACTGGCCATTAGGTATTATACATGTGAAAAATCAAGAAAAATCCACATCACCAGTCTGTTTCTGAAGTGCAAACCCAGAACCAATTACCAGTGTTTGGGGGTTTTACAACACTGGATCATCAGTGGGTCAAATATGGAGAGTAGAATCAATTGACAAACCACTCAACAATGACGGCAAGAACCTACTCAGAATAAACGTAACATCCACATTCCTCTTATTCTACAAATTCTGTTCTCAAAATAATGCTAGTTCATACATGATTTTGCACCAATGAAGTGCTCTGTAACTGAAGTTTTCCTTGTAGAATTCTGCTGTGTCCAGAAACATCAGCGTACAAAATCTCTTTCAATTTGGACCACAACACATCTCTCCAGACAATGTCAGGTAGGGATTTTTTATGACCACCCATACATTCCAATTAAAATATTTTTTGCGAGAGTCTCACTGGCTGGCAATAGAAGTGACTACAATGCTTTTACTGTCAAAAACAGTTCACCTTCATTAAACTGTATTCTCACTGGGGGTCTTGTAAAAGAATACCAAGCAGATTTTATTCTGTCTGCATCACAATACCTCAAAGAACAGCAAAACCTCCTGAAAATTCTGTATGGAAAAACTAAACTACCATTACTTCCCACTTGCAACAATAAAAAGTGTGACAATTCCTGGAATGCACCTTTAAAAAATTTACATACAGAACTACACTAGTGGCTACAGTCACCTAACACTGACTTAAACGGCATTCCCATTTCTGTAGGCAGGCCTAGAACTCAATTTCCAGAATACTGTGGAGCAGCTGTGTCACATTCTGTTGGATATCAGTTACATTAGAATATCTGTCCTTTTGGCAAAACTTTTAATTTTGGTAATAGCCTGAAATTGCAATGAGCTGTAAGGTGAGGGATGGCAGGATGTTCTAACTGGGTAATTGCTTGTTTGGACAGAAAATGCATTATGACTTGGCACATTGTCATGATGAATTATCCCTTGTGACCAAACAAACACCAGAATACCCAAACTGTTAGCACATGCTTGCCTTTTAGGGTGTGATAAACTCTGCGATTACATTGCATACTCTGACATTTTGTTTCTGGGTCGTACTAGAAGAACCAAGTTTCGCTACTCATAATTACACTCAGAAACAGATGCGCATTCAAAGAAAGATCAATCGCAACATCAATCTATTGCTACTTCTATTCATCTAACAAGATCCGAGGAACAGACTTTGCAGAAATCCATTTCTTTTTAAAAAATGATTGTTGAATTTACATATTAAAAACATTTCATAGAAAAGACTAAAATGTCTTCATTTTCTCAATGTCAAATCGCCATGAACAACAGTCTTCCGTTGCAGAAATGACCTTTAATCCATCAAATCTTCTCATCCATCTTTGAATTTCTTATGCCACTTGAATAAATTGGACTTTTACATAGCATCTTCACCATACATCACTTGCAACAGTTGTAACATTTCAGTGGCGCAGTTGCCGATTTTCACACAAAATTTAATATTAGCACATCGCTGTAAATTTCAGTCACCACCCATTTTTATGCCAAAACGTACACTCTGATAACGATTATTTTTCCAATAGCTGTTCAACAACAAGCCCTATCAGCTTGAAATTTATGCACTTATTAAGTTCAAACATGTTTAAACACAAATGTGCATGTCATTTTGATATAATTATGTCACAGACAACACTATGTAGCCACGTTAAAAATTAAATTGTCACACCTATACATTGTCAAAAGGGGAAACTAAGTTTTATGAGAATACTAATGAAGCTAAGAATGTGTAAAATTGAAAATGCACTTTCATCTTAATTATTGGATTGGAGAGAATTTAACTTTTAAAGTGCATGTAACATGCTTTGTTACCTCTACTTTGTATTAGATTAAACCATATCACATATTAATGTGATGAAAATTGAATTTATTATGTAAAAGAAATACATGATGTAATATTAACTACGCAATAAAATAAAATGATTAAAGACTGCATCTTTGTTTAATCAATAAAATAATAACAGTTCCGAGTTATAAATGCACCTTTTTTTTTGGGCTTAATAAAAATTAAATACATATTTGTATCGAGTTCGGTTATATCATGCTCTTAAGAAAAAATAGTCGTCTTCGACTCGTCTTTCCAAAGATCGTAATATTAAATGCTCTCGCTAAATAAGTGCACCGATAATTTTGCTCAATATGACGAAACTACGATTAATGTCGAAATCACCGACCGAACATCAACGCACGATTCACCAAATGAATGTTAAATCAACATATACAACACAAAGGCAATAGATACATGGTCCCGGTCTTATAAAATATAGTCCAGTTCGTGACGGACAAAGTTGTTCCGTCCGTCGTCGGCCACTCGGGGATATCCGGCGACTAGTGAGTCCTGTCCTCCGATGTACAAGGTGTTATAAATTTTCCAATAAACATCTCTCACTTTTCGGGCGGGATGGAACAGACCCTGCAAAAAAATTTGCAAATTATAATTTTACATATATGTGCTATTTGATCTCTGCACATAACTGATATATTGAAATGCTTACCTGAAGAGAGTATTGAAGGATTTTGATGGGACCGAGCGCAACTCTTAATCCTTCTACGGCTCCCATGAATGCTTGCACCAAATGGGGCGATGTTTCAAATATATTTGGCCAGACATAATTTAGTAGATGTACCAGGGCATCTTCACATCCAAAACCGTAAACACCAAGTGCCATGTGCTGAATTGCGGCACATGCAGTCTGTCTATGGACGAGGTCTCTGAAAAAGTCAATTTTATATCAAATGTAAGAATTATTTTCTTAGAAACATGATTCTATATAAGACACATCTCTATTTCTAACAAGTAAAAAATGGATAAAAAATATCATGTCAAACTCCGGAAAGATGGCAAATAAAAATCAATCATAAAAACTGAAAATTAATTGTTCTTATTTTTCAAAGTGACAGCTTAGAACAGAGGATCTCAAACTTTTTTGAGTTGTGACTCACTGTAAAATGTGAATTTTTCTGGTGCACTTTATGTACAAAATTACAAGGTTTGTTTAGAAAGTTCTTAGAATCACAGGTGATGGTGTTTCTTGCCAGTGGAAGAAAAGGGAGTGGTCCTTCTGAATGGTGTACATTGGTTACCACTTCCGAGTACTGTATACCTGAGACTAAACAACAACATAAAGAAGGAAAACATGCTTCTTCAACGACTTTGAAGAAGGCAAAAGTAGGGCCCTCAGCAAAGAAATACATGGCTTCCATTTTTTTGAATGCCAAAGTCATTATTCTCATTGACTACTTGGAAAAGAGTAAGACAACCATTGCTGCTTAGCACTGTGACCTGTTAGACAAATTGAAGACTGCCATTGCAGAGAAAAGGCACCACATGAAGATGATATACCTATTGTTTGCAGATACAGTAGAGCATCGTTTATCCGAAAGAATGCCAATCGGCCTAAAGTATAATTTTTTATATTTTTCAATGTATTTATTTCATTTGTAAAACATAAAGAAATCATTTTTAACAATACAATAGCCACGATTATTATTT